CGCCCTCCTCGTCTGCCGAAAAGGCCGTCAGAGCCTTCTGAGCCCTCAAGGCCATCACCGACGCCAACAGCATATCTGAGGGAGAAAGCTGTCGCCATGACCTATCACGAATCGGCTCACCCGCATCCTTATGATCCCTGTTGATCCGCAACAAGGCTCTTAGCGTCTTCTCACAAGAATCGGCGTCGCCTCTAGCAAAGTTGAGGCGAGCAAGGCCCATGAGTGCAGACTCTGCATGAGACACCAAACTGAGGATTTTTGATGATGCCCAGCCTACCGTGATGATTGTCTAACTCCACAGCCACGGTGTATTGCCCGATGGCTGCATCGGAATTATTCTCGAGATGCTCCAAGTACTGTCCTAAGGTAGGAAGCAACTGGTGAAACGTGACGAGACAAACGTTCATCAAGCCGAATGAGCTCAGAACTCAGCCCTCCGTCGAGTAGTGAAGAAGGATTCGCATACCTAGCTGGTAATGAACGTCTGCAGCCAGCTTCCTGAGCATGTGAAGATCTCCGTCTTCTTCATCATCATCAGTGACGGAACTCTTGCCCAAAACAAAGCCCAGAGCGGCAAGGCTCTTCAGGGAAGTCTCCTTGGCTGCCTTCAAAGCTTCCAAGGACCTTCAACACAGTTATAGAGTAAGTGAGAATGGCACTCCTCACTGAGGAACGGACAGATTCATCCCCCTCGCGTCGCCATGTTGCAGGGCCTGATGAGAGAGAAATTGAGTCCACGCTGTCCCAACGACATACTGTGAAGGCAAGCTCTTTCTGATAGGCCCTAGATAGAAGAAGGAAGCTCTTAACCCTAAGCATGAAATAATTCATAACCGATAACGTGGGTATACCTGTCAGCGACTTGGTCCGTGGAAGCCTCGTCGTGCGGCACTGACAGATGCCTTTCCATTTCCTGAATGCATTCCTGATAGCGTCCGAGGTCGAGATAGAGCTTGGCCAGATCTCTGCGGAGGTCTGAGCATCTAAGACCGATTCGACAGATTACAGTAGGCCCCTCCGAGAGTAACCTACGCTGAAATCGGCATTGAGTCGGCACGTTTGAGAGCCGCCTTGTAGCATTCAATAGCCTTCTCATAGTCATGCATCTGAACACCACACAGGAAATACAATACGCCTCCCAGCTTCAAAAAAAGTCATCCAAGCGCTACCTACAGACAAATGTCACCAGTGAATGGTTCCTTTTGGGAGGAAGAGAAATAGAGACGCGTTGAGATATGAGGACAGCAGCTGACCTGTGTCCACGCTCGAGCTATCTTCTTCACAAGGTTGTGGTCACTAGCGTGGTTGCTACTCTTATCAAGACGCCTAGCTTTCTCGAATGCCTCGATGGCTAGAGTTGGTTCCTGCCATCAGCCTCACAAGAGGAACCCTCAGATGACGACGACCTACCAGAATGGTGATGTAAGCATCTCCAAGACGAGTCAAGTTGACGGCACTCGGCTCGTGATTGCAGACGTCCATGTAGCATTGAGCGTATCTGGCGAGGAGTTGCATTTGGAGATCTGCTTTCCTGACTTACGCTTTCTTATCCTTTTTATGATTCTTAAAGATATCCCCCATGGCAAGGCGAGCCTTGGTATAGCTAGCACTACTCGGCGGAACACGGCTTAGAGCGGTCAAGGCCTCCCCGATGTCGCCTCGCCTCACAGCTATCTCGGCACCTGTTAGAGGAAGTATAGCAGCAACCAAAGACTCCATCTACCAGCCACGATTATAGTGGACTCCTCGTTTGTTCCTGAGAACTCCACCATCGCGTCCTCTTGAAGTCGCTTGGCCTCGACTGTCCTAAAGCAACCGTCAGCCTGCCTCCCACCAGGGTACTCACAAATCGCCCATGTTGAGCGCTTCGATGAAAGTGCGGAAGAGCATGCTCCTGTCGCCAAGTGTGAAACTCAAGCCTTTTGAGGCCTTTTGAGAGGGGTTCTTGCCAGTCTTCTGTCGTATCTATTATCACATAAATCATCCAACGTCGTAATTTGGACGCTGATATAAATTGCCTCTTTACGATCAAGGGACCTACGCCGTCAACTTCGATTGCCTCTCGCAGGAGCTTAATCGCCTCTTGGACACGATTGTCAATCATAAGCCCCTCAGCTCGCACCGCCGCATACAGCGGATGAGATCGGATGCCGAAGTCTTGGGCGAAGCCTTGCTCCAGATACCTGAGGGCAACAACTGAGATCCTCCCTTCTCGTGGTCGGCATCTACTTAGCCGCTGTATCCTTCTGGCCGAGAGCACTATAGAGGCGAGCGAGACGGATGTAGGTCTCTATGTAAGTTGGGTCGGCCTTTAGGGACTGCCCTAGGAGTCTGAAGACGGCTATGCCCTCATCGGCGGCAGTCAACGCTGGTCTACCGCAGTGCCTTGTCGTGGCTGCCCATGTTGATGCTAGCTTGAGCGAGGGCCATCTTAATCGACAGAAGACCCGGCATGAACCTGCTGACGGTCTCGAGGACCTGCTCACAGTCGATAGTATTTCCGAATCGCCGGCCGCCTACCTTGACGCCTCTAGCCAGATTGCTGCTACCACCACTGGATGCTCCTTCTTGTGTAGGCTCACTGAGGCCTATATACCTACAAAAGCCTATCCCCTTGGTGGAGCTGTCAACACCCTCACTCGTAAGCGATCTTCATCATGAAATAAGGGTTCAAGTGGTGGTAGAAGTCTTGACCTGTTGAGTGCTTGAAGCGTGTAAGATGCAAGGTGAGACACTCGTTGAGGGCCGCTACTGCCTAGATTACACGAGAGTTCCCCAATGGACAGGAGCGGGAAGGAGAACCTGTGCGCCTTGGCCTTCATGGCTAGTAATGATCGATTTCAGATATGCAACCTCGGCTGACTTGCCGCCTGTAAGCGAGATAAGGTACTCCCAGTAAACGCCCGAAAGATCTACTTTTTGCCGAAGTTGTGATTTCACTAAGGAGATCGAATTGATCTGAGGCCTCTTGGA